TTAACAAAAATGTTTCTGGCTTACAGAAATTTGTAAAGGATGACCCCATAGTCATCGGTACGTTGGAAGTCATTTTTATTTGGTGAAAAACCCAAGAAAACCCCAAGCCGTGATAGTTAGATATATCACCATTATATATTTGAAACATAATTCATTTTACGGATTTACACCTTACAGTTAATAAACCACAGAAAGAACCACATTGAGTTTCAGCTTTAAGCTTCACGTCCCAGGACAAAGATGGACCATGCACAGCTCCAGAGCTGCCAATAGCCCCTTGTTTATGTCCCCCAGCCTTTCTGGCCAGGACTGCTGAAAACTGGTGGCACAAATTTCACATTTTGGAAAGTGTTGTGCAAGTTGTATGAAAGGTGTTTTTTTTTTTTAAAAAAAAATAGACCCTTCCAAAAGAAGACAAGGAAACTCAAACTCCTAAAAAATGTTGAGAGGGGTTTCCAGTTCTAAAATCACAGCCTTCTGTCCTAGAAGCACTACATCTGAAAGGTGGCATGTCTCCTTGGCCATTGCTTAGTAATTAGGTGGCAGAGGAGCTGCTGAATAATGGGCCATCATGCAGCAGTTGGAAAATGCTGTGCTGCACTAAAGGTAGCTCTCCGAAGTAATTATGTTGGTTGGTTGGTTGGTTGGTTATTAACCTTTTAAAAAATGCACTTCTGTGCTGTATGTGTTAGACTTCTCCTGCTTTATCGATATGTTTCAAATGGCTTTTATTTGTCTTAATTTTTCTGTTTTTATAAGCATGTTACAGAGGTTTGCAAGCTGCCTTGAATGCCATTCTGGAATATTTCCTTTTGGAAAAAATAAGAACTACACGTAAATGTCCATTCCAGCAGTAGAATCAGAATCACTTCTTTGTCTAGAAATGAATTTACCACTGCCATTGTTTTTCTGAATTGTGTGTGTGTATGCTGCTATTCAGTTCTAAAAGGCATTAGTAACATTAGGAGATGCAGAGTAACAATAATTAATAGCCTGCTGAGATCACCCCCAATGGGAACTTTCTCTTTTTATATAAAAGGAAGTATCTTGAGTGGATATTTCACAAACAGGCTATATATGCAGATGTTCCTAAATTGTACCAAATATAACCCATATCTGATTTGTGTTACAGAAATTAACACACTAAATATGTTTTGCATCACTGGATTGTTTTTATTCTCATTTACTGCAGTATTTTTATGCATCAGTTGAGAATTGCATTGTGGATTTAACTCCAGAGCCATTGTTGAAAAAAACTTATTACTTCTTATATATGCATTTTGTAAACCATTAAGTTCAGTAATTTTACCAATTCACTATGGCTGCCATAACCCATCTCCCATTGTTTTGAACCATTGAAAGCCTTAAAAAAAACCTATGCATGCCATTTTATACTTGTATCAGTACATAAGCTTTTGCTTGTTGGTTTCTTTTGTATAGAAGCAATTGACTTTTGACAGTATTTTGCACTTTTTCCTCTTTCCTTTGGTTTTTATAAAATTTTCTTCAGCATATAATTGCAATATGTTTTTTACACCTTACACTGCCTTTTTGTAAATATTTGCAATGTAAGAAAAATTTGATTCAAGCTTTGTTTTGTAAAAGATTATGCTTAGCCTTCCTATTATGCAATAAAACTTTTTCTCAACTTTCTAACAATCAGCATATTGATTTGAAAATATTGGGTGTGACTATTTTGTAGCTTCGATATGGTGCAATTCTGTACAACCGGTGAGTCACTAAGAAAAATGCTATATCAATCTACCTATCTATGATTTATGTAGCAGCCCCAGGGACTCTGGGCAGCTTACAAGATTAAATAAAACAAACTTGCCAAACCTAACCCCCTGCTGCCTAAGGACACACTGTTAATCTCACTCACCATCACTAGTAGCAGAGCTCATCTACCCACCCACCCCCCGCGACCCAAGTGCCTGGGGAAACAGGTCTTTGGTGCCTTGTGGAAAAACTAACAGGGTTGGAGCCATCTGAATCCCTGAGGGCGGGGCAGGGGGAAGCTGCTTAACATATTTAAGAAGGGTTTTAAAACATATCAGCTGAGAGTGTTGTGAAAGAAGCTGAACACAGTCTGAGCAATACTGTAAATCTGATCTTTACCTAAGCAGATAATATGTAAATTTTGAAAGTTAAATTGAATTGTTTTACCGACAATGTTGGACAGTATGCTATTGCATATGTCTTAATTGGTTTTGATATTTTAGGGACTGTAAATTAGTTTTTTTATTATGTTGTCATGCTTTTGTAATTTTATCATGTGAAGATTTGTAACTACTAATGTGTACATATGGATATGTGTATGTGAATACATACATACATAACTTCTCATTTTTACTACTTTCTGGGCTAGATTGTCCATACATTTTACCACACATTTTCCAGGCAAGGAGAATGATGGAAATTCAAATAGTTTTTCTGAAGTAACTTAAAAGATACCTACTCTAAAATTAGGCTCATGAACATCAGACTTGGATTAGCTTACAGTCAGATTGCTCTGTGTAATCACAAGAATGTGTGCTGAATGAGAAAAGACAGCAGTTAAATTTGCCTAGTTAAGTTTGTGTAGAAGTAGCTGAATGCCCGGCTTTTTAATATGATCCTCCAAGGTTATAAATCTCACCTATTCCATTAAACCTGTCTTTATTTCAAGTTGTACATCAACAATAAAACAGTGTTGATGACTTGTCTGCAATAGTTCAGGAAGCACTACAAACCTTTTTCCAGGTCCTGGTATGTGCTATAAGCTTCCATGATGTAGGTCAACCAGGGAAAACCATTTTAAAGGTGGTATGGAGAGAGGGAAGGTTGGAGAGACTTATTTGCCACAAGTTCCCATACTTTCTCCTGAGAACTAGCATCCGCAGAGCTCAGAAAATTTAATGAGTTTCAGCAAAGTAGGAAATAACTACTTCCAAAGAATTCAAGTCCAAAGAGATAGACTTTATTTTTAACTTACACACAAGCAGACACAAAATTACAAAATTAAAAGGCATCTTGATTTGTATACCTTATTCAAAGATGAATCAGTATGCTATTTCTAATCCTCCTAAGACAGAGTTTAAAAATGGCAAGGGAATCGTTAGCATTTTCCAGATCAGGAGTGGGAGAAGGCACTATATAAATGACACTGTAGAATAACTGTACATGTAACTGCAGACACTGCTGAAAATGGTGGGCCGGTGGAGCAGGGAGATGCATAGCTTTCAAGAGAGAAAGAAAAGAATTAAGAATATAAGTGGCAAGATGTATCTTGTTTCAGATCAAGGAAGATAGAACTTTCACACCTTGATTCCTCACAAATAGAAACATACCACGGGCACTAGATACCCTCTGGTGTCCTATCTTCTGGTCTCACAACTTACGATTAAAAATTTTTAAAAGGAAAAATGCTTCAAACTATTTAGGCACTTTTGGACATTATGTAAAAACAATATCTCATATGTCCTCTGTGGTGCTAATCCATTATTACAAAGATAAACACAGCCTCGAGTCAGGTTTAACTTCTTGCTACTGACAACCATGCAGGTTTTTGGCAACAGTACAAGAGGGGTGATGATTATCTTCTTCCAGATAATCCAAAATGTTCCAGAACAATTTTTTGGATTTCCCAGTGTAGTTTCCAGTTCTACGACTTCCTGGTCATCTCCCATGTAAGAACAAACTAGGGCTAACCCTGCTTAACTTTTTCAAGCTCAGTCAGGGTCAAATAAGGACTCATGATAATTTCTGTCACTCAAGCCACTGTGTGACTATAGGCAATCAAGAGACAGTTCCATTTGGGACTAGTATTATTAGTTGTCTCGGCAGTTTTAGTTTTAATGCTGTCCATCCACTTGCTGCAATGAGATTTGAGAAAAGCTTTTCATCTGTTGTTGAAACATAACATAACCCAACAATCAGCATTTGTTTAAAGTAGTGTTATAAGAAAGCATCAAGTATGAAGAAATGGCCCATCTGCTTGGAAATTACAATTCACTCAAGTTTGTTTCCAATTAAACATATGCCATAGAGTTACTCTGAATGTACTTTTAATGTTTAACCAATCAGCCTTATCTCTGAAGTTTCAAGAGAATGTATTGCTGAAATTGGAAGAGGCAAAATTATGCTGAATAATCATGTGCCGCTTTCCCATGTTGTATCAAAGCACTGAATGCTACTATTCATGGCAGAAAAGGATCGTTCTTAAGGTTTAACTTCTGTGTAGACAAGCTGCATTGAATTCTGTTTGGTAGTTTTATGGCCAAACGAGCAGAAGGCACTTGACAAATGTTTGCTTCTTAAAATACATGTAGATGTGTATCAGCTAATGCTTTTTTTTAAACCACAAGATACAGTACATGCATTTCCAGATGAAAAAACATCTACCTATTAAAGAACATGAATATATAATCATCAAACCTCAGTTTTTCCATATGATATCAGGCATGTTAAGTTATGCATCCATTTATGATTATTTGTTGTTCAGTCGTTAAGTCATGTCCGACTCTTCGTGACCCCATGAACCATATTGCGCCAGCCCTTCCTGTCCTTCACTGCCTCCCTGAGTTTGCTCAGTTTCATGCTCATTGCTTCAGTGATGCTATCTAACCATCTCATCCTCTGCCGTCCTCTTCTCCTTTTGCCTTCAATCTTTCCCAGCATCAGGGTCTTTTCCAAAGAGTCCTCTCTTCGCATTAGGTGACCAAAGTATCTGAGCTTGAGCTTAATTATCAATCCTTTCAATGAGCAATCAGCCATTTATGATACTTAGAAATTATATGAAGTTTTCATTACCCCTAAATGTATTATTAGCACAAACCTGGGTAAGCATAATCAGCATATGATAGACACATAATATATACAACAATCAAGTTGTATACATAATATTCTTGAACTTTAACTTTTGAGATGCAAGGTGTGTAATTATATTTGAAAGTTACAAAAATGGTACCTAGAATATTTTTTTATAAACCGAAATCACAATAATGAGGCAAACAAGCAAGCAGGGTCAAGCAGGGTTGTCCAAATTTAATTAGTTGTTTTGCATAAGATACACAATACATTAAAATCAGTTGAGAAAAGAACTGGTCATTTCTGCACATGATCAATCAAAGGCATTAGCTGTGTGAAACCATGGCATTTTCTTAGGGAGGAAAAGGCATTTAGAATTAATTTATCAAGGCTTAAGATATTTCACATAAACCTCAGAGAATGGAAGAGGCAAGGCCCAAATGCACCACATGTTTGTCATTCCAATTATTTTACAGAAAAGCTTTCATTCCACATCAATTTTCAAAGCACTCCTGAAGTTTCCATAGCAAGGCTTTTAAAGAAAGGTTGAAGGATTACATAGATTCAAAGACTCAGTGGGCCTCTAATTCCTTTTTGATCTCTATAACGTATGGATGATCTTTCCCATGCGCTATCTCCATGATAGCGATTGCCTGCAAAAGGGGGAAAAATACAATTGATTCAGACAGCCTTGGTTTATGAAATGTGCTCATCGGGGATTCCAAAGAGTCAGAAACCTCTGACTGGTTTTTGTCCTCTTAAATGTCCCCCATTGAAAACAGCCCATTTGATTCTAAGTATCAAACTGTATTCTATACCCAGCACCTTTGATCCTAAGAGATCTCTGAGCTCTTTTGAAAGGCACAGACAAGCAAAAAGTTAAATGACATTATATCTGCTTTTCTGTTCCAAACTTAATGGAAGAGGACTTTTGCCCAGGGCTGTTTCAAGCCACATTTGGGCCTGTTTATATTAAAAAAAACTATATTACAAGATGGAGTTTGGGTAGTCAATGCGAGTGGGTGATGCTTCCTCTATAACTTAAGTGACCAGGTACGTATCTCTGCTTTAATCTATGCTGAGACTCTTGCAATCTATTGTGCCACGATTAGGAGGCAGTGACCAATGCATTTCAAACATTATAGACAAAAAAACAGCACTTTAAACTCCTATAAATGCTGACTAGCAAATCAAGTTGTACGGAAGTACTTGCACTTGCACTTATAAACTGGCCATTTTCTCAAGATTTCTTTTTTTCTAGAATGAATTAACCACTTAGTTAAAATGTTTCTGTAGACAAATATCGAAGTTAATAGTTCGGCAAGCAGTTTCAAAAGGGATTAATAATTCACCCTGACTCTTCAAGTTGCTCTGTGCAATTAATAAGCCCACCAAAAGTGAACAGCATTAGACTGATGTCATTATATATGTAGATTGTGCTTTACATGGGGCTGCCCGTGAAGACCACCTGGAAGCTTCAGCTGGTCCAGAATGCAGCGGTATGGGCAGTGATGGGCCTGCCTCATTTGCCAGTTTGCTTCCAGGTGCAATTCAAGGTGCTGGTCACTACCTATAAAGCCCTACATGGCAGAGGGCCTGGTTACTTGAGGGACCGTCTGTCTCCCATAGTATCTTCCTGGCCAAACCGATCTGACAGGACTGGCGCACTCTGGGTTCCTTTGATTAAACAATGCCATCTATTGGGACCCCAGAAGTGTGCCTTCTCTGTAGCAGTGCCTGCTCTCTGGAATGAGGTTCCCCCTGAGATTCAAATGGCCCTCACCCTGCTGGTGTTCCAAAGGGCCCTGAAGATGTGGCTTCTTGTCCAGGCCTTTGGTGAGTGTGACTGAAGACCCTTTTCTTCTTTTTCTTTGTTCCCATCTGGGGTTTGTTATCTCTGCCATCTTTATTCTTTTGTTGTTGTTGTTTCCTTGCTTGTAAATGTTTTTAGCAATTACTAACCTGCCCAGAGTCACTGG